GTGTGAGAATAGCCTAGAAATATGCCTTCATCGGCTTTAGAGTCAAATTTGCCAATGTTTTCTTTTCCATTGTTTAAAACAAAACATTTGCAACCAAAGACGTGAAAATATGAAATATTGGATTTTCTTCCTTTGTAAAGTTCATAGGGAGTTTTCTTCAAAATAGGTCTAATTAAAGCACGATTCATAACATAACAAACGGTGCCAACGGCTTCTGCCCAGAAATATTTTGGATGATCATTTCATTTAACATGGTTCTAGCAAGTTCTTCCAATACACGATTTTTCCTTTCTACAACTCCATTTTGTTGTGGAGTCGTAGGAGCGGAAAAATTATGTTTAATACCATTTTCTTCACAAAAGGTTTCAAAATCTTAATTTTCAAATTCCCCACCATGATCGGTTCTAATTGAAACAATATTTGAAGATTGTTCATTTTGAATAAACTTGGCTAGTCTCTTGAATGATTTAAAAGCATCGCTTATATATGTAAGAAATAAAGTTCAAGTATAGCGAGAATAATAATCCACAATGACCAAAGCATAGTAATTGCCACCAAAGCTCATTGTTCTAGTTGGTCCAAAAAGATCCATATGTAAAAGTTGTAAAGGCTTTGTGGTAGAAACAATATTTTTTTAATTTAAAAGAAGCATTTACTTGTTTTCCCATTTGACAAGCATCTCAAACTTTATCTTTTTCAAATTGGAGCTTTGGTAACCCAATCACTAGGTCTAATGAAATCAATTTGCTTAATTGACCCATGCCAATGTCTGCTATTCTTCTATGTCATAACCAAGAGTCGTCTTCCTTACTAATCAAACATTTATCGTCATTTGAAGGCATACCATCTAAGTCTATCATATAAATGTTATCCACTCTATGACCAAGAAACTTAACTTTCCCATCAATTAGACTTTCAATTTTACAAGAGGTTGAATAAAAAATTACTCTATAATTTTTATCACATAATTGACTAATGCTAAGTAAGTTATGTCTAAGGCCCTCAACAAGTAAAACATTTTCTATAGAGACGGAGGAGGAGTTACCAACTTTTCCAATACCAAGTATCTTTCCTTTGTTGTTATCTCCATAGGAAATATGTACATGCTCTTTCTTTGTGAATGATTGGAATTTAGTTACATCTCTCTTCATGTGACTTGAGAAACCACTATCCAAGTACCACTTGGAGCTTTTAGCCTTCAAACAAACCTACATTACAAAGTCAAGATTTAATTTTTGGTACCCACACCTTGTTGGGTCCTTGTGTGTTAGTCTTGGGCTTAGTTTCCTTAGCAACCCACACTTTTTTTTGCCCAATAACACCATTCTTTCTAACTTTACATGTGGAAGCACTATGACCTTTTCCACCACAATGAAAACATTTAATGAATGGGCTACTTTTCATGTAGGATAGAGAAATGAAAAAGCTTTTATATGATTTTTCTTGTGTACTAATGTTAAAGCCTAAGCCGGATTTGTTAAACATGCATCTTTGTTTACCAAGAAACACATTTAAATTATCTCTTCCACATCTGAATTTGCTTAGAATTTCATTTAAGTCATCAATTTTATTGTTTAGATCTTTACATGATGTACATGATGATGAAGATGCATGATCATTTGAAGATAGGCATTTGATACAACTAGTGCTAGCATCAAGTAACTTGAGAGTTTCATTTTCATCTTTCAAATCTTTTACCTCATTTTCTAAAGATGCAATTTGTTTTTCCAAAGAGGTAATAGTTTTTCTTGATGCTCTAAGAGTTTTGACATGTTCTAGTGTTTCATTATGCATTTTTCAAACATTTTAGCCAACTCATCATATGAAGGAGAAATAGTATAGCAAGATGAGTTTACCTCGTTTTTGGATTCATCCTCATTTTCCATTAGACATATATGTTGAGTTCCTTTGCTTGATTTCTCCGGTGGTCTCCCATCTTGCATGAAGCATAGGTTTTCTTCTTCCTTGGAGCCATCATCGGAAGAATTAGATTCATCATCCCAAGCAAGATAAGCCTTCTTGAAGTTCTTTCTATCCTTGCCTTACTTCTTTTCATATTTGTCTTTCTTTTGAATATTTGGACAATCCGATTTGTAGTGACCGGTTTTTCCACATTCATAGCAAGTGATGGTGAGTTGTGAGGGTTTTCATCTTTGGATCTTCTTCTAGGAGGAAATGCGGGTCTCTTCGAAAAATTCTTCTTAAAATTTTTTCCATACTTTTCACGGAGAGACTCATCTCATCTTCATCAAGATCACTTTCGGAATCTCCGTTTTCTTTTTCCTCACTCTTCTCTTTGCTTGGTGTTGAGGCTTTTAAGGAAATTCTCTTACTTTTCTTGATGGCTTGTTCCTTCAAGGTTATTCTACTTAGCTCCATTTCATACTCTTTAAGTTTGCCGAACAAGGTTGCAAGATCCATGGTTTTCAAATCTTTTGATTCCGTTATAACTGTCAACTTGGGTTGCCATTCCCTATTATGCACACTTCTCATCACCTAAGCAATTAACTCAAAGTTAGTAAAAGATTTATCTAAAGCATTTAGATGAGTGACAAGGTGTGTGAATCTCTTTTGCATACATTGAATGCTTTCATTTTCATGAATCTCAAACATTTCAAATTCTCTAGTGAGTGCATTTAATTTTGTAAATTTAACATCACTAGTTCCTTCATAGGTTATTTGAAGAATATCTCACATTTCCTTAGCATTCTTACAATTTGAAAACGAAAATATTCATCACGACCTAAGGCATTTGTGATCAAGTTTTGAGCTTTAGCATTCCAATTTTCTTTCTTAACTTCATCTTCGGTGTAATCATCTATATCTTTAGGAACATCTTCATTTTTCTCATTTTTTATAGTAGGTGGTGTATACCCTTTTTCAACTATGTTCCATACTCTTAAATCATTAGATTGAAGAAATATTTTCATCCGACTCTTCCAATAAGAATAATCGACGCCATTGAAAAATGGAGGTCTAGTACTAGAAGATCCCTCAAGGGGCATATCATGGTTCAAAGAAGTCATCCCTTCTCTTGAAGCGGTTAAGCTCTTTACACAATAGTTAAGCTCTGATACCACTTGTTGGACAAGTGGCTTCAATACTCAAGAGGGGGGTGAATTGAGTTTTACAAAATCTTTTCGCAAAGTGCCTCTTTTGATATTTTAAAGACTATTTCTTCAATAAAGTGATTTAATAAGGAAAAATCAAAGTGTAAGAGCAAGTGTAGTGATCAACAAAGTAAGCAAGCGAATATATAAAGACAATCTACAATGCAATTTTAACACTCAAATAAAGAGATTAAGGTTAGAGAAATTGCAAACTAGATGTATCCTGGTTCGGTCACCACCACCGTGACCTACGTCCAGACTGAAGCCACTCGATCAATTCTTTTCACTAACTATCAAGCTTGAGGGTGCTTGACAAACCACTACAACCTTTCAAGACTTCGGGCTCTTGATGCCTTACAGTTTTTCACTCTAAGTTTTCTTAGGAATTTGGTAACCTCTCTAGTTTTTACTCCCCTAACTATTCAAGAAATCAAATGGAGGTGTTTAACAATAGCTAAGTACTCTCAAAGTACAAATAACACAAGTTGAAGAACTATGGGTGTTGACACTCTCACAAGAATAAAGCTCAAAGATGATTTAAGCTCAAGATGATAGAAAGTAAGCAAATGATGTGACTTAAAGCAAGAATTATGATTTAAAAGTGTATTCATATCAGTAGAACAATGGTCACTATTTATAGAGGGGCCCCATGACCCTTTGCACACTCATTTTTGCAAAACTAGTCGTTTATAGACGTTATTTTCGTCCTCTGGTGCAGTAGGAATCGATTCCCCGTGAGTGGGAATCGATTCCTGCTCACAAGGAATCGATTCCCAACCTTTTAGAAAGGCTGGAAATATGTTTAAAATCATTTAAACCTTTTAAAACATGTTTTCATAAATGTGTAATGCTATAAGTCCTTTATGTAATCAAATGGTAATTCAGTGCATGTATTTTAACAAAAATACGTTTGAGCTTATTAATGTAAGAAGTCAGTTACCCTCACAATTAATTCTAAGTCCTAAAGTATATATTACTTGATAATTCTTGGACTTAAATTCTTCTCTTGAAGCTTGAAGGACTTCATGATCGTTGGATGTTTGTTTCTTTTTTATTGTTGCAACTTGAAGCCTTTCTTCCATGCTTTGTTCGTTATCATCAAAATTCTAGACTTTATGTTTTGCATTGGTTCCACATTTTTGGGTCCACCCTTACCAGCTCTTATTGGCTTCCAAAGATTCTCATTCACTGCTGTATCAATGATATTAGAAAGCTTCTCCATTGCCAAGACAAACAAGTAAGGAGAGATCGGGTCTCCTTGTCTGACGCCTCTGCTTGGTTGGAATTCCTCTGTTAACTTACCATTCCAAATAATGTTGGTTTTTGGAGATGTGACAGCTGTCATGATCAGTTTTGAAAGTCTATCAGGAATCTGAATTTCATCAAGCACTCTATGGATGAACTTCCAATTTAAACGATCATAAGCCTTATCAAGATCCACCTTAATCACCATAAAACACTTCTTACCCCGCATTCTCCTTATAGAATGAATCAGTTCTTGCACAATAAATGATATTATCTTGAATATAGCGCTGGGGCACAAAACTAGATTGAGTAGGAGAAATTACTTTCTGCATAATTGGTTTCAGACGGCTCACAATAAGTTTGCTGATAATTTTATAAATAACCGGACATAACGAAATTGGCCTAATTTGCTTGATATTCACCGGATTCTGGACTTTAGGAATTAATACCAGCAGAGTATAATTTATTGATGCTAAAACTTCAGGATAATTCCAAATCTGATTAATTAAGGAGCATACCTGAGATTTCATTAATTCCCAATTCTTCTGAAAGAAAAACGCAGAAAAACCATCAATACCTGGAGCCTTGAATGCTCCCATGCTAAAAGTTATTTGTTTAATTTCCATCTCATGCGGGACTTTTTGCTTAAAGAATCCTTTCCCGCTCTAGAAGATCATGCCAAAGGTTTCCTGAAGAAATCCACCTTTTGTCACATAAGTCTTCAGTAAAAAGAGTTTTGAAGAAATTGCAAGCCATGTTTTTGAGTTCCTCAGGATCTGAAATCCAAGCCTCTCCATCATTTTTAAGCTTGAATATTTTATTCGAATTCCTTCTGACAACCGTACTGAGATGATAGAAACGAGTATTTCTATCTCCATCCGCAATCCATTTCTTCCTAGACTCTTGAAACCAAAAAAGTTCCTCTTCACGAAGAACATTAATAAGCATTCTCTGATAATCATTCTCCAAATTCAACAGAGCTTGAGAATCATTTTGAGTACGGTTGTTCTGGATGTTGGCAATTTTTTGAATAATACTATTTTTCTTTCTATCAATATCCCCAAAAACTTTCTTATTCCATATTCTCAGTTCAGGCACCAATCTTTGTAGCATATATGGAAAATCAAAATCAGAGTCCCACTTGGCCCGGATAAAGCTATTAAAAGCTTGATGTTCCTGCCAGGCTACAAAAAATCTAAATGGCTTTTTACCTTTCTCATCTAAATTTTCAAATAACTTTATTAATAGAGGATTATGATCAGATAATATCCGAGGAAGGGAAGACACTCTAGCATCATCAAACATCATTCTCCACTCCAAATTCACTACAACTCTATCAAGCCGTTTAAAAATTCTTCTCAAAATGGTCCATTTAGGACCTTGCCAGGTGAATAGAGGACCATCATAGCCCAAATCTATCACCTGACAATCTTCAAGCACAGAAGAAAAATTAGCACACTTGGTTGGGTCAGCTGGAACACCCCCTATCTTCTCATTAGTGTAAGCTATTTCATTAAAATCACCACCCAACAGCCACGGTCTATTCATAGTTTCACTAAGTTTTCTAAGATCCTCCCAAATATTATTTCTAACATTTTGAGAAGGACTAGCATAAATAGCAGTGAAATCAAATGAATTACCTGTAGGAAGAGAGACTCTACAATGAATAAATTGAACTGACTTGGATAGAAGAGCTATATCCACCTTTGAACTATGCCACATTAACCAAATACCCCCTGCAAAACCCTGAGCTTCTTGAACTAAAAGGCTATCAAATCCCAACTTCTTCATTAATTTTTTGCACACCTCGCTTTGAGTTTTGGTTTCAAGAAGAACAACAATATCAGCAGAATTTTTCCTGACCATGGACTTAAGAGTACTACGAAAATCTTTCTTGGCAGCCCCTCGAGTATTCCATATTAGGACATTCATTGATAACTGAGTAAGCTTTTTGCAGGGGTTAGAGAACCCTGCTTCTTCTTATCATTCAGCAAACCATTACTCTCTGCAGCTTCGTACTCCATATTAGCACAATCAGTCTCAACATGATTTCTATCCACTCCCATCCAATCTGGAGGTTTTGGGTCCAGATTCCTATAATGTTTATTCTGTTCATCGTCATCTACTTCCATACAAAGGATATGATGCTTGATCTGATCTTCATTCCTCTTAGCATATTCAGCTACTAATGGACTTATTATTCCAGAATGATTCCCTACTTCAGAATCTCTAATTTCAAACGATGCTTTATTACCCACTGAACTAGCAGAACTAGAACCCCTATTTTTGCTTTCACCAGTACTTTTTCCAGCTTTTGATTTGCTCTCATACTCCTTCCTTTCGTCTCCCACCAAATAAGAAGAGAATATCATTCATTTCCCCTCCCTTCCTTCCCTTTCCTTCTCCTTGGATCCCTTTCCCTCCAAACTCCCAAACACACCTATTGAAAAACAAAGTATAAATTTTCTCTCAGTTATTATTTCTACGAGGAAGGTGGCTACAAAATGGCATTGGCTCGATACAGATTTTGCTAATCAAATTTCATAATCTCTAAAATAAAAATAAATATTATCTAAATAAGGAAACAGAATATTTAAGGTTAACTAGCTCATGGACCTAATAAATTTACACTAGAAAACAAATAAAAAATTAAAGCAGAATAGACATGCTTATGGACTCATTATAACTTCAACTTAGTAACTTGAGGGGCAAAAAAATACTTCAAAATGTTGTCGCTGTTTGATTACTCTATTTGTGTATGCAATTTACAAGACAAATTGCCTCCAATAAACAGTTGAATTTACTTGTCACCAGACTATTTTTAAATGGATTTATCGTTGATTGTGGCAAACAATTCAAAATGGTCTAATTTAAATTATGTCATTTTTATATTTCTTGTTATATTATCCATCGGTTCTTGGATTATTCTTCGACTAGTCCGATTCGAGTCGAGTAGACCATATAGGCGACAAAACTTTCTATCAAGTTTTGAGACAATTGCATTCCAGGGACTCGAACTCCAAACCATTGATTAAGCTGAAACTACCAATTCCTAATTGATTCATGTGTTTGTTGGTGTTACATCTCTGAATAGCTATAGGTTTTACTGACAAGTTAAAAAAAAAAAAAAAACCTATTATGCCTTACAATTTCATCTATCTTCCTTAATTGCCAAATGAAACTGAAGTTCTAGATTCTAGCCTTTCTAAAACGCTCAGAACCGTTGTTATGTCAATGGTGCTTCAGCTGGACTGAAAGAGAGTTCTCACCAGTTGCAATGTATTGAGAAAAAAATATCATGCCAATTAATCCCTTTCACATTTAATTTCACCTTTTTTTTCTCTTCCAATAACCAACAACTACTGCAACAAAAGAGTTTAATAATCCAATGTAAGAATCAATCTAAATATAAATCCATAAATTATATGAATTTTAGAATACCAATGATGAAAGTACATACATGTTTTTAGTGATGAGTGGATGAACAAGAAAATACAAGATCTTCCATCACTACTTCTTAGATAGGGCAGTTATAGGGCATCCTTTTGATATATTTACAGTAATAATGGTAAGAGTGTTATTGCATAATAACACTCCCATTCATTATGAGTTATGTAGCAATGGCCTACATTCTACCTGTAATAGATGCACATCCAAAAAAAAAAAAAAACCAATTTGATCACATTTTATAATATGATAAATCTCTCTTAGAAATTAACCCACTATATCATTAGCTTGTTTTTAATAAAACAAAATTAATATTTAATGGTAACCATAAAAATAAAAATAAAAAAATTGTAACGTCCAAACGTTTCAGTGATCCAAACCATATTGTAAAGTAAGATATAGCTAAATGTAGAAACCTGATTGTTCCTATATAAATGTAACGTAAGGGACTCTTTGAGGATGCTATTCCACCCTGCACCGACTAACATTGATTGGTCTTGTGGGGTCTTAATAGCCGTAACCAAAAAGTAATAGTAACATTAAAAATGGTTAATGTTTAATGTGCCATTTTACCAACCTTTTGACGTGCCCCCATCAAGTTTTCTTAATTCCTATATAAAGTTCAACTCTTGGCTCTTTCATCGAACAATTTAGTTGTCAGCCAATATAATTCTCTTCAGTCTTTTTGACAATTTCATTACAGTGACATAAAGATATTTTGTGAACATGGCACCATTTGGTAGCTTCACTGCTAAAATTTTGATGGCAGTGATGCTTGTGAGCTCGTTTTATGTGACCAGCATTGTGGCAAAGGAATCAGAGATTGCTCCCACTGCTCAGTTAGAGGCTGGAGCTGGGTTTGCTTTGCCAGTTTCTAGGGTGGTCTTGTGTTCTTCTGTGTTTGCTTCTGTTGTGGCATTCATGTTGCAATGAATTTGAATACTTAATATTTGGAGGTTTGAAATTTGTCATTGCTGGGGGTAATGTTACTTTATTTTGTGGGTTAAAATCGATAAGCTTGCTTATTATAAATTTTAAAGGGTTCTTTTCGTTATTTATTTTATGCTTGCTTGTTGAATAAGGTACTGTGTCTTTTGACATTTTGTAAGATTAGCTTTATGATGGTGTGAGCTATTGGTGCGAGCTGATATGTAATTGTTGAATTCCTAGTATTTGATGAATTTTGTTGTTTCACATTATTATATTCTTCAAAAGTGACTATCTTCTTCATTGCTGCGTGCTGCTTTGAAGTATGATCCAACTTTGTCCAAAAATATGACATTTAAAGTACAATAACTGGGTAAGTTATTGTCCTTCAACTTGGAAGTAAACTTTCTATTATGCTATTGAATGGTATATACAATCGGTTTTTCTCTATTTTGTGTACAAGTGATAACTAGTGATCACAATGATACATTGTACAAATTGATGTATTGGCTGACACAGAAGAACTCAGACAACGTTCCTTTCAACTGGTAACTTTGAAAAGAAAATGGAATAAAAACAGTGCAATGTTCAAGAAGCAGTTCCCTTGGACTCCTCCATATCCAACTCGTGTTCTGCTACCATAATACAAGAATCTGCTTCCAGAGATGAGACTGAGGTCTTATCTTTGGTTGAAAGCTCCTTAGGTGAATTAAGCATTTCTGTTGTGCATTGCACATCTGGTGTTATCCCAACCTGATCTATGTCATGAAGGGCTGGTGATAGATATTTTGCTACTGTAACAAAGAGGGCTGAACCATCATGAAGCTCAGTGACACTCTGAAATGAGAATGGTACATCACGCGATTAACCAAGATATGATGATAAAAATGGAAAGAAGGCTTGGAACTAAATTTACTGTTTACTTTGAAACTGACTTTGATGGAAAAACATCATTTACAATGGCCCCTTTTGATGACTAACCATCAAAATGATTTTTGACTATGAATTATTTTAAAGAATGCAGGGTTAATGTTGGTCATAGATCTGCAACATCATTCAAAATCAACTTATATATTTGCGCTGACCAAATGCTTGATACATGCCTTTGCAACCGAAAACACTCTTATGAGAGATTCGGAGAAATTTATCCACCTCATATATATATAACAATACCTCTTGTTTCGTGCTTTGCAATATGGAAATCTCGTTTAATAACAAAAAGAATAATGGTACTTTCTACCAAAAAAAAAAGACGAATAATAATGGTACCTGAATTTTTCCTTTACCAAATGTTTTGTGCCCCACCAAAATAGCTCGACCATTATCATGTAATGCCCCAGCTAAAATCTCGCTGGCACTTGCACTTCCCTCATTGACCTGTTAAGGATACAAAAATTGTAAAGCAATAAGCTTGCATTGTCAGCAAATGTCATTTTAATGCTTATGGAAAACCAAGATGTGGCAGGCTTATGTTTAGAAACAAAGCATAAAAGTTCTACATTGTTGATTATGAATCTTGCTAATGAAAATATCTTCAGAGCTCCCGAAGAAATAAAGACTTAGTACATAATTTGCTAAAATTGAAAAAATACAACCCGTTTAACTTTACTTATTCCACCCATCTCTTTATAGTTAATGCCATCTCATTTTCCTCTATACTCCCGTAGCATGGAAGATGTACTCCTAGCTAACAAGAAAGCATAGTCCTTGGAAACATACATGAATTGCATTTAAGGAGTGAAATTGGATGTTAATTGGCTTCATAATAGGTTAGCTCTGATTCTAGGAACAGACTGACCAGCAATACAACATGATAATATGCTGTAGAAGCAATTAAATGCAAGAGAAACAGAATGACAATATTGTCACTTTCCTATGCAAGGTAAATTAAAAAAAGAACTGTGCATTTTCAGAACCTTTCAGTGTTTGTTTTCCATAACACAAACATACCCGGAAATACAAATCAGAATGACACAATACAAGAAAAAGAATAACCATTATAATATTTATATGCAAATGTAACATGAGATACTAGAGTTATTATTTTGTCGCTCACTCAAAGATTGTATTACTAAAAGGCAAAGTCAATGCAACTAAATTTAGTACTCACAATAACCACAAGTGGATCATGTGTTATAGCATGTCCATCGATCATATTAATTGGTAGCATGTTCCCGTTTCTATCAATTGTGTTCACCAGAGTCTCATCTCCATCTAACCACATCTGGGCAACATCAAGGCCAGCTTTTACCAAACCACCCTGAAACAAAATTACATGACAAAGAATGAAAATGCTGTTAAGTTACTTTAATCAAGAGACCAGGTAACACTACATAAGAAATTTTCTATCAATGAAGTATATTACAGGATTGTTCCGTAGATCAAGAATATATGAGTGTACTCCTTGATTTTCCATTTCTTGAATAGCATTCTTCATGTCTTCAGCAGCAGTCTGTCAATATGGAACAGGAAGAGTTTATATATAGATTGTATGAAAAGCAGTTTGAGACCAAAATGGTTGATAATTTAAACAGAATTGCAATATTTTTTATTGCTGATTCTTTGTTCACCTGAGAGAATGCTGACAATTTTACATAACCAGTTTTTGTCAGCTCACCATCTGGGGATCTATGAGGGATGATGGCTTTGGATATTGGAGAGAGCTTGATATACTCCCTTGGAAGTTTGACCTTCAAGTATATTATTAGATTAGCAATAAAATATTTTGAGTTTCGAAGTTCAGATAAAAGGGCAAAAAGTTTGTCAGATAATGCTTATTATAACATAAGATCATAAACTAAAATAGAAGAGATAAGTTAACATTTCATGAATCATAATCAATAACATGTCAAATTTACCTCTCGGATATAAGAGATTTTCCCAGAGTCTTTGACCTGGAGAAGAAAAGTCTGTAAATTAGTTTCCATCACGATACTTGAATGCACCGGAAGGCTTGTAAGGAATGAAAGAATTAAGCTACTAATGTTTTCTAAAGAACCTTCTTTCATATACTAGTGTCCTTTTTCCAAATGAATAGGATTAAAATGAATCCTATCCACTGGGGGAAAAAATGAAGGTTGAAAATTTAACTATATCCTATAAAGGAAATCAACGTTTCAAAGGTAAAGGTAATCCAAGAAAACTAGTCTGATGCATAACTTGTTGAGATATATAGTCCCACATTAGTTGCTCATGGTATCAGAGCTTCACCGTCTCCCGCTTTAAAAAGTGGAATTAAAATAAAAAAAAACACAAAAAGGTAAACAAAAAATGGGTCTGTGCAATTTCTACGCTTCTAACCTAAAGGGCTCTTGCGTGAGGGGGCGTGTTGAGATATATAGTCCCACATTGATTGGATGGGCAACTAATATGGCCTTTATAAGGCCTTGGGCACTCCCACCCCTTGAGCTAGCTTTTGGGGTGGTGTATCCCAAGGTTCTTTACATAACTCAATAAATGGAACTATGATAATAACCTTTACTGTAACAATTGTTCCAGCATTCCCTCTAAGCCTCTGTGCTGCACCTTCACTATCAATGCCATCAAGCCTTTCACCTGCAGAATCAAAATGTTTTCAAACAAAAGAAAATCACTTGTTTTTCTTCAGAAACAAAATCTTTAACTCCCAATGAAAATTGACAGACACCAGCAGAAATTTGTGAAACACCTAAAACAGAAATTTTTTCAGAGGGATTAAGAAAGAGAAACAGGATGAAATTACATTATGCCCCGAACAAGATGGGGCATTAGCTATGACTCTTTTCTACACCAATTCAACCAAAATCAGTATTAAGGATGCAAACTCTGGCATCTTTGCATAAGTGATAATAATGGTTTTCTATGATTAAGCAAAAACAATTTCTCCTGTTCTCAAATTCTGCAGATTCTGCAGTTCTGTTTTCAAATAGACTATTTTAGAATAATTAGATAAAACTAGATCTGACTAGCTTCATAAACAAGAAAAGAATCAGATACTTGGTCTAACCATTTATCTCAACCAGTTCATCTCCTTGATGTATACCAGCACGAGCAGCTGGACTTCCTTCTATGCATGACAAAACAACCTGTATTTCAATTCAATTAAAAAAATAAAGAAAATCATAATTTGAAAAAATCAATACAGGTTCATTATCAGGTGATATTGAGCAAATCATGAAGCCAAGACATGCATGGTTCCATGACCTATACCTAGTTCTAGCCACTGCCAAAAATCTTAAATGGGAAAATAAAACCAATTATTTTTAAAAAGGGAGGGGGGATCAACAGCATTATCAAATGACCTCAGAACAATCAGCATAAAATTTAAATGTGGTTGATTGCTGAAAATTATAGGAAGTGTTCTTTGCAAGTCACTAACCAAATGTCCCGTTCTTGGTTCAACATTTATGAACAGGCCCACTCCTTGTAAGCTCCCATCACTTCCAATTCTAAATCCTTGGTATTCCTGTAAGTAGGGATCACTGTTAAACCAAACCACAAAATCTAACTTTAAAACAGGCTTGTTGATCTAACAATAGTATAGTTTCAATAGTCCATTTCAAATGGAAGCAACACACTAGATTAGGCAACATAAACTAGATATTGGATCTATGATACACTCTCTAATTACAACTTTTTCTATTGACCAAGAAAGTAAGATTCAGATTTGCAGAAAAAGAAAATGTTAGACCTTTGGACTGATAATTCGAGTGAAAGGATCACCAAGGGTAGAAAGCATTCCACTGATTTTTGTGTATGCTGCATCAGCTGAGTTCAGGGGAAACATTTCTACCATTGTTTGCTGCAACTTCAAATCCCAATCTACAAGTAAAAATACACTTATTGATCCATGCAAACATTAATACTAGGTGGATCTAATCATCAAGAAAAAGTTTAGGCCCTAAAGTATGGTTCCATAGGTTTATGAACAAGCCGAGAAAATAACTTAATCTTAAAAGTTAAATAATCAAGTTGGTAACTGTTAGATTGCAAAAAAATAAAAAAAGAAGAAGAAGAAACCAAATAGATGTTAGTGTAATGCATTCTATCTTCACAGTCAGTAATTCAAGGTAGAATAAGATAAGAAACCAGAATTCAGAAATACCTTGATGATTAAATGTAGGATCAACAAATGTTTCTCGAATCAAACCCCATGCTTCCACAAGAGTTCTTTGAACTGCATTTACCTAGCAAACAAATCTTTTTCCACTCAGAACGGTTCATGTCAAGGTTAAGAACAATCAAAACTCTAGTACTATAACAGTTAGATTGTTTAAAGCTCTCTACTATTTTGCTTTAAACTTTGATGTTCAGATTGCTGTTCAGCATCATGGCTGAGGTAGTGGGGTGCAAGGAAAATCCAAGGGAGTAGGTGTATTTGCCAAGTCTTCAACAAAGGTAGCACTGATTTACAGTACCTTGGAGTTCCAAAGCAAATTTCATATTCTTTTCATCTAGAAACTGAAAAGTGCAATGCCGTGTATGATAAGGGAATAACTGAAAAGTTTTAAATGATTCAATTAAGTATCCAGATTCAATTTGATGTGGCGAAATCATTTTTGTTAACAGTGTACAAATTTTACGTGAGTGTGACATTCTCATCTGTGGAAGAAATATAAGTGTTACAGAGATATAATATAAAACCATTGCCTGTCACTTCCAATTATTAGTAGAATTAAGTTAGCACATGGTAAAACAAAAGAATGAGTCTGTGTAATATCCAGGCTTGAAGGTCAAAGACCTGTGTTAGAAACATATAATATAAAATTATTAAAAGTGGATCACATGATAACTTGAGCTTTTAAGTGAGATAATTGTTTGCTGCGACTAAAATTGTTGAATTTGCTTATGTGTATCAAGTAACAAACTGGGAGTAACATAGTCGTAAGGATAAGTACCACGATGTGTTGTAAAAGATTTATTAGTTGTTAGTTTCATAATAAATGTTTGAAATTCATTAAGTCCAACCAACTACTAGCTAGTAAAAAAAAAAAAATAGTAATAACCCATCAAGCTAACAAACATGGATAAATTTTTAGCCCTCCAACATGTAGACTCAATTGTATTTATACTCATTTTCTTGGCACCTTCTTTATTTATGATGCCAATAAATTATTTGTTTATTTTTGTACAAATGATGCTAGTAAATATGTGTTATAAGGTCAGTACTCTGACACGGACATTTGAATTTTGTACAAATTTAAAATTTGGACGATACAAGATAAACTTTAGTGAAACTATTTTAAACTAATGAGACCAAAAGTGTAATAAAGTAATAATAAAATTAAGAAAAAAATTTATAATTTTAAATGAAATAACTTTAAATAACATATTTTAGTGCATATTTATTTATTTTTTAATTCTCTCTCATTCGCCAAATCAAGAGAAGAGATAAAGAAAGAGTATTTTGAGAGGAGATAAAAGATAAAAATTCATCAAAACATATAGTTTCATTTAAAATAATAAAAAATATACAAATATTTTTTCCTAAAATCAAATGAGAGAGAGGAGAGAGAGATGACCTCAGGTGCCCGTGAAACAGGAAAAGCGACGGTGAGGGACTCGGCGAGAGCCGGCGGCGAGTGGCAGAAAACAGAGAAGAAGAAAGAAGCCGAAACGCCAAATCCAAAAGCACTTTTTGCAGCAGATTCAATCCACCCTCCTTGCCTACAACACTGCACCTTCAACCTGGCCTCCTCAGCCGACACCGACACCGACACCGACACCTTCCTGTGGCATGCTCGTGTTGGGAACCGTGACCTGCGAGGAAACAAAACTACTGAACTTGGTTTTCCAAGTTTAACTGGAATTGCAGCTTTAGCATCCAAATTGCCACAAAGATTCTTCATTTCTGTTTTTTTTTTCCTTTGTTTTTTAGGTAACCGAATGGGTACTAGAGAGGAGAGAGCAGCTTTAACGTTGGTGTGTTGGTGGTGACAGTTATGTTGTAGGGTGTGGACCCCACTTGAATCTTCTTCTTCGGTTGTGGTTGTGCTGTGCTCTCAGATTCTGTATGCATGCGTGTACGTATCTAGAGGCAAAGAAAAATCAACTCTTTTTTTATTATTTTTATTTATTTTACGTGAATAAGAATAAGAAAATATAAATTTCATTCAGTTTCTCCTTTACACGTAATACCCGGGTTGAATGAATCTCGAATGAACATGAATCCAAACATGTCAAAATTCGACTGGTTTGTTTGTTAATTCACCTTTTTTTTTTTCCCCCTTTTCAGCTTCTAACGAAGGCAAAAAAATTAATTTATTATTTTTTTAATAAAAAATTACGAGTATGTAGTCATTTGCAAATTAGTTACGAAACTATAGCAGTCAAACACGTTCACATGGGGCGTGTTCCAATCGAGGAAGACACGCCCATGTTGAGCATGATCTACTGGTCAAACACGTCCACATGGGGCGTGACCAAGAGGAGAGAGACACGCCCATGTGGGGCGTGACCTATGAAGGAAGACACGCTCACATTGGGCGTGTTCCAGCTGAAGGTCAAGCCCATTTTGGGCGTGAGTGACCCAACTGCAGCCTATTTAAACACCCACCCTCTATACACTCTTCATAACTCTTCTCCTTCGTTATTCTTAAACTCCCACATTCTTTCTTACTTGGTTATTTATAGTGTTTGTAGTGTTTATTGATATTTTGCACTTGTTTACTCTTATTATCTATTCTTTTTTAATTTTAAGTATGAGTTCGAATTCTGAATTTGTTCGTGTTGTTCTATATTTTAACGGTAGAAAAGAGGAAGGTCGTCGTGGTGTTATTTTTGTAGGGGAGAAAAGACCATCACGTATTAAACGAAACTCAACGGTTGAGGAGCTGCATCAGAAAATACGCCAAAAATTATGTCTTGAAGACAACCAATCGATCACTCTAGTCACGACAAGATTATGGCAATGTGAACAATACATTAGTTTGCAAGTGGTCGATGACAAAGATGTCGATATGGTAATGGAAGAGTTCTTGAACCAGTCTAGAAAGAATTTCTTAGAGTTGTATGTGGATACTGCCACCGCGGGAATGTTGTGCAACCAATGAGGTCAGTTACTTCTAATTTTCCTCTTAATGCATCATCATTTGCTGCTCCAGCTGTTAACATGTCTGAGGATGATGAACATGACCCTACCTGGGTTATGGATGAAGACTATGAGGAAGATGATGAGAAAAATATCGCAATGGAGGATCGTCTTCTTGCAGAGGATGCGAGTGCATCGGACAATGACGAAGAATGCGGCAAGTCCGGTACTCAACTTCAGCCATGGCATGATTTGGGGGAGTCTCGTATCGTAATACATCATGACACAACATCGAGTCAAGTACCAGAACATCCTGAAGGTATGCTATGTAACAATTTCATGTTAGCGTGCTCCGATTTTGTTTAAGAAAATAATAACAGTGTATTTATGTAGAACATGCAGGCGATGTACCTGTAACTCCTTTTTGATCTAAAATTCCACATTACACATATATTGATTGGGATCATCCGAGTGAGACACAATCATGTATGCAGAGTTCGGGTTCAATCCAAGGTCCATGACAATTGGGGAAAAAGTTGTTTGTTAACCAGCAATTTACATCCAAAAAAGAGGCTCAGATGGCAATCAAGTGCAACCTCATGAAGGAGCATCAAGAAGCAATTGTAGTTGAGAGCACGCCCACAAAGTTAAGCATGAAATGTTGTGCGCATGTCCAAGGTTGCCCATGGAGGATCTGGGTAATTAAATCAACGTATGGTGAAAATTGGAAGGTAACGAGATGGGGTGGGGATCACAATTGCTTGAATGACCATATTTCTCAAGATCATAGACAACTTGATTCTGACGTAATTGCATCACTTGTAGTAGGTACGTTATTTCAAATTATTTTGGTTAATAAAAAATGTTGATTGATATTGAGTGATCTATTTATTTGAATTGAGTTGAGAAAATGTTTATTACAAGTTGGTTTGATAATAAATATTTAATTGCTTCTTGCATATAATTAATAGTCAATAATATTTGAAAGCTATTGGAAAATATTGATATTAATAAATGAAGGTATCAAAATAATTATCGAAGACCACACTAATAAATGTGAAACATTAGTTTGAATGACATTGCTAGAGTTGGATAATGGGCTAACGTGGCCCAGGTCATCACGGGTTGACTTTAAGTAAGGTAAGCCGGGTTAGCTAATTCGTTAAAATAATTAAAAATTAGGGACAAATCTAGGATTTAAGATGTAAGAGGATTAAAACAAGAAGATCCTTTAATTAAAATTAAGGAAAAATAATAAGTGAAAATTAATTAATTTTTTAAATCAATCTTATTGGTATTGACAGGGCATAAGTATTCAAATAAGAAATTATTATGATAAACATTTATATAAGTGAATCACATTTATATAAGAATTTATTGGAATTAACTAAGTATTTCAAATCGTGGTTGCAAACCTACGTAGCACCGATACGGACACGAGACACATGACACGATACGACACGACACTCCGACACGTTAATTCTAAAAAATGTTAAATTTCGACACGTTAGGACACATTTTGATATTACATAAAATTTTTAATATATGTAATATATATTGTATGTAATATTTAATAATTTAACAAAAAAAATGAATCTAAACTTATAATATTCATAAATTTTGAAAAGAAACATAAGATATCCCAAATATTTATATTAAACTCAATAAAATGATAATCTTAATTCAACGAATCTAATAATTGAAACTAAAATCTCAACGCAACGCAACCTTTGAACTTTTTTTTGAATTTCTATAACACGTGTTGGAGTGTTGGAGAGTGCTGGAGTGTCAGAAAGTGTCGGACACGACACGTCAGGATTTTTGAAGTGTCGGTGCTTCATAGTTGCAAACAACACCCTTTTGCGCCTTTTTATATTTGGATTCTATGTCATTAATTACTTTTTTGGGCAGGTTCTCCGAATGATTCGGAGTGTTGAGAATTTCCTAACTCGTTCCATCATTTGTGGCTGTGTCGTCTTCTCTCACTCTAAGCAACTTGGAGTTTAAATGTTTGTTTTCGAATTGATTATAAATATTAATTATATTAGATTAATGTTTTAATTTAAATTTAAAAACTATTATGATTTAAATTGAACAAAAATTATATATATATATATATATGAGAAAAATATTTCTCTAGCTGCTTGAGATATATTTATCTCCGGTTATCTCAAAACTATGCTATTTTATTTATTTATTTTCTTATATTAATTGATTCACCTTTGACTGATTATGATTCTCTTTCTCTCTCTCTTCCTTTATCACTATTGATTCATCTTTGTATAGTTATAATTTAGTGGCTTAAAATAAAGTTATCTCAAACAACTTGAGAAATGATAACTCATATTATATATGACTATACCTTAAAACTTTTCTATTATACCTCAAGCCAAATTGAATACCTTCTCTTAGACTTGAACATATGTTATAGGTTTAATAATAAATTTTGATACATATTTAGAAAGGGTTTAGTTTCGGAATATTTTAGGGCAAATGGGGGTGAATGACATTGACTTGACTTTTGGGTTATATAATTGGGTCTTAACTTTTTTAGAAGAGTTGGACAACACTTGGGCTCAAAGAGTTTAAAATTTTTGGACATAAAACTGATTAAAATAACGTCTCTTAGCCGTGGGCCAACATATTAGAAGTACAATCCCCTAAGGTGCTGTTTTGGTTGAAGATTTCTTAAAACTTACTTATGTAAATTAAATTGGCAAAGTAAGAAAGTAATGTTTGATAGACACTTTTATAAAATTTTCCTAGGTATTATATTTGCATAGCATTCCTTATTTGTTCATAGAAAATAAGCAAAAGTTACTATTTGTAAAGACAACTTGAGGGTGGTATTTTACATTTAGCTAGCTAAATGGCAAAAAAGTAACTCACTAGTAGACTTAAATACCCTCATCTAAAGCGCCAAGGTTTCACTTTCTTTATGGGGTTATATTTGTAATTTTATACCATTTACCCATCAATATTTTATTCTCAACCAAACATAGGTTTCAAAAACTTTAATCAATTTGCCTGGTAATATTTGGCCCAACCAAACAACTTTTTTTTTTTTTAATTTTTCTATCTAATTCACTTTTCCTGTAGATCCCTGGTAATTACATTTCCCTAGTGAATTAAAATTTTCACTTGAACCAAACACCGCCTAAATGGATGATTATCAGTTATTGGATAAATTTTATTTAAGGAGGATTATATTGACAAATTTTATGTTTTATTGGTAAAATATTTTTGAGAGAAGTCTTACCGGTAAGATATAGTGTAGTTTATAAGGATTTGTAAACAAAAAAATTTATCAATATAATATTCCTCATTTTATTTATCTCTTTTTAACATAGTTATTGGGTAAAATTTATCTATCTCTTTTCAACATGATGGATCCTATTCCTTGTTGAATTATTCTTTTAATTTTGACTGGGTTATGCAATGTGGATAATTTATTACTTTGCCTGTAGTTACTATTTTTTTAGACATAGTTAATAAAAAAATTCACTTATCTTGACATTTTTGGGAAATGGGAATCGAACCCTAGACGTCTCTCCTCTTTGATGAGCGAGGAAATTTAAAATAAGTTAATAAAAATGAGATAAAGCATTATTAAAAATGGGGCTCATATTAAGAGACTTTTTGGCCCAGCTTTATGTTAATTTAAAATTATTTTTAGATTAAAGTTACAAATAAGAGTTTAAAAAATAAAATCAAAGCTGTTTTATAATTGTATAATTTTTTAAGCTTTAATATCACTTCAAATTAAAGCTCAAGTTCTAAATAAATTGTCTGGTAAAATAACTTGTATAATTTCATATTTTGCTTTGCTTTGGACTTCTTCTTAGCATTAATAATTTGATTCAATCCTTAACACTAATTTGCTGCAACATG